TTTTTTGAGAAACAGTTTATTTCACAGCAGCTTCCCAACAGCTTCTTCAAACAGCTTTATTTGTCCCAAACAGAGCTTGAGCCACATTAGAAAAAAAACTTGAATGGATTAAAAAAGAGGCATAGGTAAAACAATCATGCACTTTCATTTATAATTAAAACTTGTGAAAATTAATTGGATGTATGATCGAGCATCAATCATTTTTTCAAGACCTTTAATTCAAACAACCAGCCTTCAACCATACTTGCTGTTCATTAAATTTTATAACAAATATTACGTGCATCGACCGTAAGTGTAAACGACAATCTAATTAGATTATCGTCTATTATATGATGGTGTGGTTGCATCAGTAGTCCATTTTATCCCAAAGATGGATGTAGTGGTTGCTTGTTTGCTTGTCACGCTCAAAGCCAAAAAAGAGCATTACCTAACCAAAAGCGGTTGGTTGCACTGCACTAGTGGCGCAGACATATGCGTTAATAGCGACAGATTTCTTTTGATAAATCGGTTGGTAAATAATAAATAACGTCAATGCCACCCCAGTGCTGTCGTCCTTCGCTTCTGGTTAATGCCACGCTTCTGCCAACGGCGAAGCAAAGCTAGTATGGCGGTGAAGAATTGATTTGTTTACCGTGTGGTTTCCGGACGTGGTCGTGGTAGCGGAGCTAGTGGAGGCGGGTGATGTTTACTAGCGAAAAGAAAAACAAAAAGCGCCCGAGTTCCGGGACCGATCGCCAACAAACTGGAAAAAAAAAAGAACATTTACATGCATACCATACAATTCTTATATATTTACATATGTAACAATTAAAATTTTAAATTTACATGCAGGGCAATCAAATTTTTAATCTTGGGCATTCACATTCGTAGCACACAATTCTAATTTATTTATAAATCTCACACCTAATTTGTCGTATTTACACAAATAGTAAACAAATTTTAGTATCACAAAAAAAAAAAAAACTTTTTAAAAGTGAAACATACATTTTCATGTATGGGTTTAAAACACGAGAGGATAGAAGCTCTACTTGCCCAAAAAAAAGGGATGTGTGCAGACCACCAGAGACTTGTTATTCACAAATCAATCATCATCGTTCATCCATTTTTCAAAATTTCATTCAAATATCAAAACTCACGGCAAAACCCAAACTCTTAGTTTTTTACTTTTATCAAATTCTCAATAATTTAATTGTGACACACACAAATACATCAAATATATCAGTTTCATAGTTCAAAATGACCACCTGATTTTTCTTGTTGCTTAAGATCTCCAACATTCTCGAGAAAATAGTTGATTATGTATTAACAGAACTTTTTTATTTTATAAGGTATAATAACTTACTCAGAATTGATTCCTTAAGATAATTAAAAAGGTATATAATATTTTTGTGCGTTCACACTTTGAGATGAGTAATGGGAAGCCATTGAAGTACTTAGCTTCCTTTTTGTTATGTGTACATCGATATTTATTTACACGTGTGGTCGCATCACCAAAATGTCTTAACTCCATCCCTGCTCAACATCTCGGGGATTTCCTAACAAGGATATGTAATTAGTTTATATGCACCTGAACCAATTTGTTTCTTGATGATGCAAGCGCTCATTCATGAAGGCTCAAACTCTTACGTCAACTTTTTTAAGACAGTTTTCTGTTTTGAATTAACCTTCATTGACTTGCGAGTTGTAATGTTTTGAGGTCTTTCTTTTGAATTTCGCTTGTCATAACTTGAATTGATTGTGAAGCTCTTCCAAGGGCTACACTGAGTTATGCAGGCTCTCATTGTTGAGCTCTCTCCATTCGTTTAGTTCTTACTCCTCAAAGCTGGAGGTGGTTAGGACCTGTTGAGTATTATGTCGTACTCTACTGGCAATACTGCTTCAGTCCCGTGTGACAAGATTAAAGTAGCGTGTCAAATAGAAGTGGAGGGCTTAGTTCGTAGTACCCATAATGTCGAGGGCGAAGCCCACTGTCCTTTTGCTCCATTTATCTTCTTTTTAGCAAGCTGAGGATCAACTTATTAGCTGCTCACTTGTCCATTTGTCTTCGGATGGTGAACGTATACTTGAGTTGTATTTCTTTCTTATTGCAAAAGCTCTTAACTTTTTATTAGCAAATTGATTATCGTTGCTAGTGATAATCATAAGTGGTAGTTCGTATCGACAGACAATATCAGTCCATATGAAATTGTAAACTACTTCAAAAGTGACTATTTAGTAGTGGATTTGATTCAACCTGTTTGGAAAAGTAATTGATAATCACAAGAATAAACTTTCAATATCATTTACCCGGTGCAAAAAAAAACCTAAGGAGATCCACCCTCTAGATCGGGCAAGAACAATGACTTGTGATTGATTAATGCTTGTGAGGAGTTTGTAATTGCATGAAAGCAAACCTTTGAAATTGTTCTCATCTTTGCATCAACTTCTCCGAGTCATTTCTTAAGTTGGGCCAAGAGTTTTTCTTCCTGAATGACTTCCAATTTCATTTGTGTGAATTTGCTTGAGGATTACTTCTATTTCATCCTCCTTAACTCATCTTAATGAAATGGTGCTTACTGACTTTTTGATCAGTTCATTATCATAATGAAGTATTGGGCTACTTTTGATCAAAACATTTGAGGATTTGTTACTCTTGGTAGAATTTGACCCGTGGTTATATATATTTTATAGGGTCGATCTAACTTGCAAAATACTACAACTTTTGTTTATTACTTTTAAGCTCCTTAATAATAGGTTGATCTAGAGTAATGTGTCATTTAGATTTTTGATATTCAGCCTTATATAGAAAGTCGACGACCTGGTTTTCTTCGCTTGAGTTGTGCTCGATTAGGAAACATTTGAGTTTTTCAGTCTCAATTTTAGCTTTTAATAAATATTTTTGTAGGATATTGTCGTGCACGTTGAATTTTCCATTTATTTGATTAACAATCAATTGCTAGTTTGATTTAATAAGGTATTCATGCTCCCGACGCCGGGCCTTGCAATCTACGGACATCATCATAACTCACCATTACGTCCTGCTTGGTCCGCAGTTTATACAACTCCGAACTCTCTCAGGTTTACAGATGCCATCACAGCTCATCAATCTGATCTACGTGACTCACTATGACGTACAAGGTCCAAAACTCGTGCAGCACCTGACTTCTACCCCTGTTACATTCAGACGTCATCATAGCTCAACACAACGACCTACAAAACCAACTACGACTTACGTGATCTACAACTCATGCAGCTCTCGACTTCGACCCCATGGCTTACGGACTTCATAACAGCTTACCATTACGACCTACATGGTTATAACTCGTGTAACTCTCGACTCAAGCCCCCGCGACCTACGACCGTCATCACAACTCACTACTATAAAATACATGACCAACTACGACCTACGTGGTTCACAAAATCACAGCAAGTGCAGCTCCCAACCAGCCCTTGTAGCCAACAAATGTCATCTTAGCTCACTACTACAAACCCATGTGACTACTGCAACCTACATGGTTCACAACTCATGCAACTTCCTACTACTTCCTTTGTAGCCAAACGATGCTTCTGAAACAACCATCTACGTTTCACTTGGCCAATTATACATGACTTTCAACTGTAGCTTATATGACAAACTAACTTTATGACCACCGTCTATAATATTCACGATAAACTACTGCCTCCTTATCAATCGAAGACGACCCTTGCAGCCTATTATCATCAAGAACTACATTCATTACAGTCAGGGTCTGTTTGGGGCAGCCGCAGCTTATTGAATAATCTGCTGATAAGTTGATTAAAAATAATCTGTTGATAAGTTAGGTGCGGTAGCCATTACAATTTTTTATTTTTTTTGGAAAAGCAACACCGCTGCTAGAAAGCTGCCACTGGTGCAGTGAGAAAACGTTGTTTTCAGCATTTTGAAAACGCATAAACTCCTAAAACACAGTTTACCCAAACAGACAAGGTGTGCTTTCAAAACGCCACCGCACCAAATAAACTGTCACAAACGGCCCCTCAGACTATAATGATTATCGATGAGCTACTGTTATACATTTACAATGATCATCTTTGTAACTCCATCTTATATAATTCAGGAGAAGTGTAGAAATGTGTTCTCACCATTCATAGTAGATTATCTCAATTGGGATGTACCCCATGATTTTTTCACTTTTCAAGATTTTTCTCCTAAAATTCGAGGTTTCCTCCTGTATACGTCCCTTTAAATACTTGGCAGTGTGTTAGACTTTCGTTCAACGCAAATACACAAAATAATCACCATTATCATGCCAAATATTCAACAAAAATTTAGACCTTAATATTGGGTCGTCCAAACTAAAAATAAAACTCACTTTCACGAATTTTATTAATTTACTAATAATCCAAAGTCAATCGTCGATCTCACGTAAATATTAGGATATTTGAATATTTTCTTATGTGATGTAGCAAAAAATACACTGCGTAATTTTATTCGACTTTGCACATAACTTCACGTGCAGAAATATTTTTTCGCGATGCAGAGGGCTAGAAAATGAATACTCGACGTCTCATAATTTAATTAGAATGATTAAAAAAAAAACCGTTTCAACTTTTCCAAAAATAATTAAATCCCATAATCAGATTCAAATTCGAGTTTTTTTTTTTTTTTGTGAGAAGAATGAGCCCAAAAGAAAGTACAAACTATTCAAACCCATAACGAGTCACGAGCTACATCCTCAACTATTATGTCACATAAATACTTATTTCAACATTCAGACCATTCTCAAATTGATTCGTAAATTCAAATTTAACCAATTAAAATCATAATAATTAAATTAAGACTTCTAAATTTATAATATCTTACATCCAAACTAAAAGAAAAAAGAAATTATATCTTACTAATTTCCTCATCAGTTAAATAATTGAAATATGTATTTTATTTTTAATCTATACTTGTAACCTCTTTACATGAAATTATGTCATAATAACTAAAATTAATATTTCCTTTGCCCCCTTAATAATCACTAACTCAAACTAATCCTCAACTGCTAATATCCCCCCTCTTTTAAACCGCTATTTCCCTGAACCATCCCACCTTCCCCCTCACTCCATCCTTTTTCTTTCCTTCAATGACTTCCCCTTTCCTTCTCCTCATCTTACTCCCTTTAATCTCTTCGCCGCCGGTATCCGCCGACGATCAACCGCCGGCGTGCCCGTACCCCTGCCTTCCACCTCCTCTGTCTTTCACAAACTATCCTCCTCCGCCGCCGTCCTCACCGGACTACATGTTGTACCCACCGCCGGTTGGGAACATACCGTACTACCCACCACCGACGACGACTCCATATGAAAACTATCCCGCGCCGCCGCCTCCTAATCCTATTCTTCCCTGGTTCCCCTGGTACTATCGTTACCCCCCACCGGCATCTCCGGCAACTTCTCCGGCGAAGTTTTCCGGCGTGTTTCTTACTGTATTGGTTCTGGTATCATATGTTCTACTTGTATGTTAGAGAGCGAATTTTTTTTAATCTCGATCTAAATGCCTCTTATTTTTATTTATTTAATATTTTTTGGCATGTTTATATTTATTTACATACATAGCACCCAATTCTTATGCCCGAATCTCACATGAAAATTTTTATATTTTACAAACACAATATTAAGATGGTAATAATCACAATTTTTTTAATTTAATATGATATAAGATTTAATTATTTATTTATATTTTATACTTATTTTAATTTTCATAAAATTTTAAATTATTGTAATTAAATTTTAATTAGAATACATTCTAACTTAGAATTTCTTCTCTTCTATGAAGTTTCGAGATGGGCTTCAACTCAAATAAAATAATGCGCGTCAATATTTCAATTTGTGAATTAATCCCAAACGGTGACAAATATAATTAATCAATCAAAGTGGGTGGAAATGTTTAATAGGTGGAGCTTTCAGCATTATTGAATAACGCCACCTTATTTCAAAGCTGCCATTATTTTTTCTGTCGCTTTGATGGCACTAGCGTGACTGCCATAGCTTCTTTTGATCATGATAGGTTATATAATAAAGGTTGTATGATGTTTCTTGAGTAATATTATAATAACTTTCTTAAAATATTAACTATTAAAAATTTAAATTTAATATAGATGAAATGAAATTTGAGAAAACAAATGGTTGGTAATGAAAAATTTCTATCTAAATCATAATTGGACTATCATGTAATTATTGAAAGATGATGCGCCAATTTGTGATATATGCTTTAAAACCGCTAGATAAGTGCAGATGAGATGGTGGTCTTGTGATTGAATATTTTCTCCCACACCCACTAGAGAAGAGGGGGAGGCTATGTGGACTTTTTGGCTCCATAAGAAGACGGAAGAACAACTCAAGGAGTTTGCCCTCGAGTGAGATGGGGACAAGGTTGGACAAAAAATTGAATGGCTATGTGGTGAACGCATGCGGCCATGAGAATAGTGTAGTTATTTAGGGACATATGGAATGATGGTGTCATGTTCGAAACAAGTAGCAGTGGAGGTGGTTATTGTGGTGGTTGAATGTTAGGTGAGATAAAAAACACCTATAAATGATGATAACAAGTGACAATGTGACTTTGGCTAACATAAGATAAGCTATGGAGATGCCAACCTTTGAGGCTAACTTATGAAGGGAGCAAATCTAAGATGATTGCTTAGATTTCTTGAAAAAAATGTAATACCACTAGATCTTCTCATATATGACCTGCTTTAAGAGGCAACTAATTTAGTTATAGAGTTGGGCTTTGCCCAAATCACCTTCAATTTGTGCTTGCATTATGATACCGTTATATTGACACCTCATGTGAAGAAGTTATGCTGAAGGATAAAAAAATGAAATAAGATAATCAAGAAAAAAATATACTCTTGTTATGATGATTCTCAATTATGTGAATTAAGACGATGTCACAGTTTATAAGGAGGTTTTCTAGCTAATAGGTACAACGATTATTTGGCTACGACAAGTGTTTAACTGGTCATCTTGTATTAGTCATTGTCTATATATATGTAATGATGCATATGAGTTGAGAGGGTTAAGGGGGGAGAGAAATTTTGAGAGCAAGATGAGGAACCAATAAAGCTTGTATCGAGATCAAGCTCGATAGAGAGCTAGAGGAGATTGGTTCATCCTTGAAATTGTGCAGTGTAATCTTCAATATTGTCTCAGTGAATTGTTTCTTGATTCCCTCCCATGGATGTAGGTCTTATGGACAAAATCACATAAGTTCTTAGTATTCTTGTTTGCATTTTCTTTGCTGTTTTCCTTTTCTCGTTTTGTTGTTCTGCGATTCTCATGGCAGCATATTCTTCTACAACTCTATTTAACATTAATTCCTTCATAATGCATAGAGAATAAAAGTTCACAAGATCTAAATACAATGTTCCAATAATGCTATCTATCAGACCAAGTAGGTTGATTTCATGGTATGATCAGATCAAAGGGAATGAATGGGGAAAAAGGTTTAGTTTTCTTTTTCATTCTATCTTTTCACTTTCTATCTTTATATCGTTTGAACCAGCCAATCATTATTATGAACTTATGTTCAATTTTCTTATATATGTTCATTGTCTATGTCTCTTTATTATAGAGGAAGGAACTACTTATAGGCATTGAGGGAATTTGAATCTTATTGACTTGATGGTTAGGGCAACATGGAGTGAGTACTTTTGGGTGGTATGAATGTTTAATGTGGTAACAATACTGCCAATTTTAGAGAGCACCATATACATAATGAGCGAAATGGATTCTCAAGCTAGCAATGATGATCAATGGTTGGATGGATATCCACATACTGACTTATTAAATAGTGGAGATAGATATGTTGATGAGAGATGTCATGGGTCATGATGCCCAATAAACATATTATTCATAGATTGTTTAAATCAACTGACAACTTATTAAAAAATGTTGTTTTTTGTGGTGATTTTCAAGAGTACTTGCAAGTTCTTTGAAAGCTTTTGTGTGTAGCATTTTATTAAAGACAAAGGAGGTAATATATAGTATCGTCAGGTGATTGAACCAATACAGAGTTGATTCTTTCATTGTCATGAAGAATAAAAGACATTTTAACATGTCGTTTATTCTGAGCAAACAAACAACTGATTCGAAGGAAGCCGGGTGGTTGATGGGATCAAATTTTCCTATATAAGATTTCAGAGATGGAATATTAAACTTCCTCGATGCCTCAACTTTCAAAATATCTCTTGAGAATACGTTCTCTATCTATTCTCCTTCTTCTTGCTTCTTCTTCTGAGTACTTAGGAGAAAACCTTTGCCTTCTTCTTTCTTTTCCATTTGAGTCTGCACCATGTCCTTTGCGATTGAGGTCAAATTTGAGATTGGATTAAGAGATTTTCTTACTCCAGCTCTTGGTAAGTTCTGGGCATGTGTCGCCTTGACTACACTTGCCTTGGTACCTCTTGTCCTGGTAACTCGTATCATGGTGTGCCTTTTATCCTCAGTGTATCTTTTCTATGAGTGACTGATTTAGACGGTCAAATATGTGTTATGGACCAGGACTGTCTTCTGGAAGCTTCTCATGTCATGCATTTCCTTTCTCATTAGTTTATCAACTTATTAATTTATGGAGTCATCAATTTTTTGGTATAATCCATCACCCTAAACCCTAAACCCTGAACCCTAATAAAGGGAAACTGATAATATGATCTTGTCGGTTAGAAGATTTGTAGTGGTGTCACAAATATCAACTACAAGTTTAAGTTGACTTGTGTCTTCATGAGGAAAATATCACCTCGTAATTCTGGAAGGTCATGATCCACACACCTTTCTTTGCAGATGAACTCCACACTTACTGCATCTTTAAGGATAGCGAATCCTTTTGAGACGTAGAGTATCTTATTGCTCGTGAGTGTGTATAACTCGGTAAAGACATTTTATCATAGAGAAAGTGTGAGAAAGAGATGGATAGAGTTTTGAGTGGAAACATCAGGAAATGTATTAAAATGTGATCTCCAGTAAGCCAAAGTAGTGTGGCTTCTCAGAGGTTTCCTGAGTTACAATATTTCAAAAGGAAGAAAGAGAAGCGAGATCTAGAACCCTCTTCTTCTCATTTTTCCTTTACTTTTTTACACAAAAGAGAAATACAATAAGATAATCGACGCAATACATTGTACGTCAGCCATCTCTGGTGCTTTATAAAAAGAACGCGATGTGGGTCTCACGTATTGTTGGCATGACACCCATCCCTGGTGCAGGTGGGCTTGATTCGGCCACTTCGGCATGTGGGCTCGATTCAGCCACTTCGACTGGCGGGCTCAATATATTCACTTCAGCAAGTGAATTCGATGCAGCCACTTCGATAAGTGGGTTCGATTCAACCACTTTGGCAGGTGAACTCGATTCTAAACAAACTAAAAAAATTGATTACTCGTATTTATGTATACACTAGTATTGAGTGAAAGTTGAATAAGTTTGTCTAAAACTAGAAATTACAATTATAATTCCAACTAGTTAAATTTAAGTTGGGGGAAAAATAATTCATTTTTAATCATATTTTAATGTGATTAGAAAAACATTTATTCATTTTATTGAATATTTTCTTAAAAATGACCTTTATTTTAAAAAATAATTAAAAGAAATTTATAAAGAAATATTATTATATAAATTTAACATAAGTTATCAAAACCCTTTCACCTCAAGTATCATACGTTTACCTCGGATTCAATAATGGTAGTGATAGTGATGGTGATGATCACATGACTCAACAGAGAAATTATCTTTCTATAAACTGACTCTGATTTCTAATATTTATAAATAATTACACCCATCACCAAACATTTTAAATAATTACACCCACAACCAAACAAATAATTACACCCATCACCAAACATTTAACATAACCTGCTAATCTTTTTTATTTTCTACACTAGTCCTTTTTTTCTTCCACTAAAGACAAAACAGTAACCGCTCAGAACGTGCGATCGTGGGTGGACACTTGTAAACCTAGTATTGGACTGACAAACCAGAGGACAGCGAGAGCAGGAGGCGCGCCGCCTCTGCAACTTCGTCGCCGTCCGCACTCCCACCAAACCTCGCCGGCGTCCGTATCTGCCGCTGCACCTTTAAATCACTGCTGCGGCGAATAATAATCTTCAGCACCTTCTCCTGCTTCTCCCTTTGCCTTCTCTTCAGCTCCTCCGCTTCAACGGCGGACTTGTGGTTACTTTTGCAAATTAAAGCCGCCGGCTTGCTCTGCTCCTCTCCCACGAATTCCGTTTTTCTCCTCTTGCTGTATCGGATCCCGCAAGCATTGCAAAGAGACTGTAATAAATCAAATATAGCCAAGCATAAGCAAATCAACCGTTAATTAGTCTCCAATTTACAAATTTCTCCTAGGATTGCGAGGAAGCAAAGATTAAATTAATGGTTGTTTATACAAAATTAACCCATTGATATTCGACCGTTAGAGAAGAAGAACATTGTCTTGAAGATGATGTTTCAGCTTAATTTATCATAAGAGAAGAACTCAAACGAAAAGCTAAGAAAATTTAACCCATAAAAGAATGGTAATATAGCTAGCATTGAATTTGGGGTTATTAAAATTATGGCTGCTTTTTCATAACCAACCCATGTATATCTTCATTTCCTTTACGTCAATCCAACAATGCGCAATGATATAGTGAAGAATATCGAAATAAGCGAAACAAAGCGATGCACTGCCTATCTTTTTTACATTGCTCGGTTAGTGTTGGCTGAACGAAGTGAACGAAGAAAGAAGAAGAAGAAGAAGAAGGAGACGGTAGAAATGGTGACATGAAAGCAGGGGAAAGTGAAAAGAGAAAACCTTGGGGCCGTGAGGCCCACTTCTCCAAAGAGGGGTATCGGAGGTCTGGCAGTCAGAGCAGAGCTTGAGGGACTGCTCCATTGTCGGGGATGTCTTCTCTTTGCAATGATCTTCTACCTTGCTCCTCTTCCTGGCTACCATTTCGCTGCTATGACCAAGAATCATGTCTGCAATTTTGGAGATTTAGTGGGTAGGAAAGGTGAAGATTTCGCAAATTGGAGGAGTAATCATGGGTTGGTTCTTATATGGTTTCCTGGGGTTTGTCTCGCACACGGGGATAAGGTTTCTACCCTCTCGACCCAATAGGTCCTGTGCTGTTTGACACGTGTGCCGGCCGTTAGAAAAGATAACACGAGCAATGTAGATTGAATGCGTGTCTATGGTGGACTGTAAATGAAGCAATGCTAATAACCAATCATTTTTAATTAAATTTATACAAGAAATAAACTTGGCCATTTCTTTTAAAGCTCGAAAGTTAAATAAATGAAATATTTTACTCATTTGTTATTCAATAACTTATTAAAATTTTGATATTTAGCTCAATAATAACTAATACCACATATATGATATATTATTAGAAAACATTTATTAGCTAGAATTTATAAAATTGTAGATATATAGCAATGTTGCACATAAAAAATGTTCCAACGTGGATCCTGATAAGATCCAAATGTTCCGAAGGAAGAAACCACGATAAAAGAGGTCTACTAATCCGATCGGATGTAGCCGCCTGAGCCATAGCCAAAGGCCAACCGAGCTTGGAGATGAACAAAAAGAATGACTGAATTATTCGAATTTGAACCTATCTGACTAAAGCGAGAGATATATGCACCCAGGCTTACCACTGCAAGAAAGTCAATCGAAGGCATTCACCATCTTTTTAGTAAATCCGACTCAAAGAAAGAATTTAGTTCCTCACAATTGCCAACCATCCCATGAATTCCTCTGATGCTTCTCATCAAGGATTAAGATTCGCTCTCTACCTGATAGCTTAGTCTTGCTAGACCAGCAGGAGCCTCTCATCAAAAGATCGAGGGTTGTTAGCCATATTAGATCAATTAATTGACAAAATCTAGCTGATTGAGTCATTCATGCCAACTTATAGCTAATCAAGATCAGCCGACCGAATCGGCCTCACCAAGCCTAATTCATACTAGTCTAACTGAACAAACAAGAGAGTAACCGAGCAATAGGCCAACATATGTAAACCACCTATGATATCATGTACAAACCCTATTAATGTAGGGATGATAATGTAATATCACTACACTATACCCTATTTCCTATAAATAAAGAGATCATTTTAGTAAAAAAAGAGAATAGATAATACATTTGATTGTTCATTGATATTCACTCCCCTCTCCATCTCTTTCTCTCCTCATTCTCTCTCTTCTCATTTCTTACGCTCTATTTCTTGGGCTGTGATTCATTGACAAATCAAGATTAAACAACCTGAAAGGTGAATTGAGGGCGGATCATTCCATAGAAGAGAAGAGGAGCAACACATAAAAGAAATCCATAACAAAGATGCTGGTAATATGGACTGCACAAGAAAGTTCATGAACCAACAAATTCAAGAGCTGAAGAATCAAATACTGGATGACATCCGAAAGGCACTAGCTGGAGGAAGGGAGTAGCATCCCGGAGTAGAAGGGTCGGCGCCTAACGGCGAAGAGCCCCTTAGATTTGGATAGAGAAGGAGGCTCCCAATATTTTGACATTGTAGGGTCAGCACTGTTATAAAGGCATCAATTCGGGCTTACTAAAGAACCTTGACAGCCAGAAAATGTATTCTTTTAACAAATCTCTAAAGTCGAACTCCCAAAAAGGTTAAAGATCTCAGCATTGGAATCCTATAAAAGAAAAATTGATCCAACTGATAAAATATCCTTATTCGAGTAAGTGTGGGCTTGCTAAAGATCACCAACGCGCTGAAGTGTCATCTTTTCTTCACCGTGCTGAGGGAGTCAACCCTCAAGTGATTCAACTCATTATTGTAAGGGGGTAATTGCGTCATTCACTAACTTCAAGTAAATGTTTGTTTAGCATTTTCTAGTGTCTAGAAGCTGTAGAAGAATTTGCAAGCCCTTTCACAGATCAAATAAGGGCAAAACAAGAGCCTTCACTTGTTCTAGAAGGAAATGTTAGAAGAGTCGGATCTAGAGATTGCAGTAGCTCACACAACCCTTGATCAAAGGCAAAATGAAGGACCTTTCTGGTATGCCTTGGGTATGCAGTGATCGAAGACATTGCCCAAATTTTTTGAGATGGCGAAGAATCACATATCGACTGAGGAGTATCTCCACCCCCACTTCCTCTAGAGGAAAATTTTTCACCTGTCACCCACAGAAGAGGGCTCTTTAAGGCAACATGTGGAGGCCGAGAGATGACTTACGCCCTTCTGCTCGTCCATGTTATGATGACGATTGACCTCCCTGGGACCATAGAGCGGCCAATAGAACTTACAAATGAGAAAATTAGGTTCGATCATCACTTCCCCTATCTTCATAGAGCTCAATTGATTAGTTTAGTTTTGAATTTATAGAGGAATTTTTACAAAGATGGGGAACATAGAAATTAATATAAAATTTAATTTTTGTAATTTATTTATTTATTTTTGAATAAGGTGAGCGTAAGAACAATGCCCTTTGGATTCTTTACTTATTCCCAACCAATATGCTAAGATTTTGAGGATCGGTAAATATAAATAAAATCTAAAATTAAATTTTTTAGAGAGAGCTATGCTTGAATAAAATTTAAACTCTAATTTGTCTAAAAACTTTGAAATTAATAGGAAATTTGATCATCATATCTAACTAGGGGTGTAAACGAGTCGACACGAGCGAGCCATGCTCAGCTCTTGTTCGGCTCGTTTATATTTCGAGCTCAAAAATTGTGTTCGTGATCGGCTCATTTGTTTAACGAGTCGAACACGAGCTGTTCACGAACGAAGAATCATTTTAACAACCCTAATAATGTAGCCGTAAGACTACAAGAGTTTGAGCAAGATTTAAAAATTATTATTTATATTAAAACATCATTTGGATCTAATTTAATATTTTTTATTCTATTTTCTTAATCAATATTTTAATTGATTAGCCTTGTAGTCAATTAGATTTTTTTAAAATACAACTATATATATATATATAATTGATGAGTAGTATGTCGAGCCAAAACGAGCCGAACAAGAACGACACATCTTAGTTTATGTTCGGCTCGTTAACTTATCGAACGAAATTAACGAGCCGAAAGCTTCTTAACGAGCCGAACACGAGCTGTTTGCGAACAATGAGCCGTCTTGACAGCCCTATATCTAACACAACTTATGATTTTTATTTTTCACATGGTGTAATTAAATATTTTTAAATTATAAGGAAAGACCCATTTTGTGGAGCTATTCCCAAATTAGAGCAATCTGAGTAATAATGATCGGTCAATTTCTGCTTCCTCTTTTTTTTTTTCATGGATGTGTGCATGCATGACACCCTATTTTTTAAAACAAAAGGTAGTGCGAATTAATTGGCATCAAGTGAGTATTGCAGGTGATACGTTGTTGGGTATTGCAGGTGATACGCTGCCAACAATTTTCCATCAGTCAACACGAATCTCAGTGCAATTTTTTGAATAAGAGACATTCATACTTCGATTAAAAGTCATCCGGAGCTCCAATTTTAGCAAAATTATAGTCAAACTGACCGACTCGATAAGACGGACCTAATGATATCAAAGGTATTCCAATCCGAGTCAAATCAAGCCCATATCAAGTGATTAAATCACTACTGCATGATTTCCAGAGGCATTTGAAAGGTCAAACGGATGTCGACTCTAGCGAGTTTATAGTTGAATCGAGCATCTCGAAAACACAAATCCAACGAGCCCAAGATTGCTCAATTCCGACACCATTAAGGCACTCAAATGTCCATCAAACGCTATATGATCAAAGGAAGCTCTCTGAGCCGTCCGATCAAAATGGTTCATATTCCTGCATTAATTGCACTCAAAACACTATAAATAGAGTCTCACCCCTCACATGAGGGGGAGAAGGCTTAAGAGAGAACTTAAGGCTTTGAGAAGGAGCTCAAGTCCAAGATCATCCTCGTCGCCGTCAATCGCCGGCGACCACCACTAACCGTCGACAACGACCGTCGACCACTGCCGACCACCGTTGAACGCCGCCGATCACCGCTGACCTCCGACAACCACCACTTACTAGACGTAATCAGTCGACGTTATAACGTGGAAAGCTAGTAACCCTTTCCCGCCTGTGGGACAAGGGCGTCTGTGGGACAAGAGATTTTTTTAATCATCATCTTATAGTGGATTTTTACAACTGGGCCAGTCCCCGTGGTTTTTCCCTTTTATGGGTTTTCCACGTAAAAAATTCTTATGTTATTACAGCTTGATTTATTTTCATCTGAGTGTGTGCTGAATTTTCATGCAACGCTAAGACAATAATTCATTACTCTACCGCTGCGAATTTTCTAGCACGCATCAGCAGACATACATGCTCACATACTTCATCTATTCTTATACAGTTTTGCTAAGGGTTACATACTGGTTCAGCTCTAAACTTATTTAGATAAAATTCGAGGGAAGATTCTAAAGATTGGCATTTCGTGAATAAGTTGATTATGATTTAGAGTTTGTTGCATATGGGCTTATATTCCCCCTCAAGCTGAGCGAAGGAGAGTATACAGTCAACTTTTGCGATAGATAGTTATGACTATGGCTGAAGAGTGGGTTTGTGAAGATGTCAGCGACCCGATTTGCCATCATGATTTGTTTGATTGTGATTTTCTCATTCTTGAAAAGGTGAAGTGGTAATATACTTCATCGTGGTTTGTTTGACTGTGGAAAATAGGTAGTAATATGGTTGAGTTACTATCATAGAGCAGTGGTGTTGCCATGGTTAGGTGTACTTTAAATTTTTGAAGTAGCCGACAAAGCCATCGGATCTCTGAGGTGATTGTTGCTAAGTCTTGGTACTCAGCTTCGGTGGAGGAGTGAGCTATGATTGGTTGTTCCTTTGTTGACCAAAAGATGAGATTGGACACGAGAAAAACACAAAATATTGATGTTAATCGACAATCCATTGGGTTCCCAATCAGCATTAGCAAATGCTTGGAGGTGGAGTTTTGTTAGTGTGATAGTTAGGCTGAGGGGTGAGGTTTCTTGTAGGTAGCATAAGAGTCTATTGAGGGATTGGTAATGTTGTGTGTTGGGTCAGTTAGTTAGGCTGAGACGGTTTATTGTATAAAATACCTAGAATATC